ATCCCCGTCCGGCTTGAAAAACGGTACACTAAGAATGCTCGTCAGTGCCTCACCCTAAACAATAGTCAGAATCCTGTCTTGGGTCAAGTTTCTTCAGGACTTTGTATGATCTGACCTTCACTTGGCTTGAAAGAGAGATCTTGGGCTCTTCCTTTACTGATTCACATTGGAAGGCCATTAGGGCACCCCAGGATCAGTGCAGGAACCTAAATAAAGGGGTCCTGGACAGATGGCGGTCCGGCCTCCCCTCTGCCCGCAGTCTCTCTGTGGGCTGTTGGATCCAGTGTCAACTGCCCTTATGCTCACCAACAGGCACCGGGAATCTACCTTCCTTTAGCTGGTGGGAAGCGGTGGGTGTACGGTGAGGGTCCAGGGAATAGACTAGGTGGACGGGCGGAAGAGTCCAGTTGAGAAGACGGTGTACAAGCAACTGGCACCAGGTGGCACCTCTGCCTTTTGGAAGAAGACAACCCGTGGGAATGGCATGCACAGATTTTCCGGCAGAGCAGCCATGTTGCACAGCTGAGTTGCTCCTTGGGCCTCCAAGCTTGTGGGGCAGGAGAGCGAAGAGCTTGGTTGAGCACAGCCGAGGAGGGATGCTCTGGGAAGCCAGACCGAGCCCGTCCGCTGGACCCCAGCAGGGGCCTGTCTCAGATGCCCACCGGTGTCAGTCGTCTCCCAAGGCTGCCGCCTAGTGGCTCCGACCGGAACAGAGCCGCAGACGCTGCCACCCCACTGACCCCCTTCCCTGGCAAGATCTGAGGAAGGGACCCGTTTGATATCCTGGGCTCCCAGGTGCCCTGGCAGTTGAACTCCCAGCATTCCTCTGGGAGGCGTAGTCCTAGGGCCCCCAGAGGGCCCCAGCCCTGAGGCAGGATCTCCAGGTCAAAGAAGGGGTTGCATCAGCCCTGAGGTCACAGAGCTCCTGCTCTTCCTCTTCCCTGCTGCCCAAGCCCGGGGGGGAGGCTGCCCCATGGTGCCCTGGGCCACCCTGGCCCTCGTGGCCACTAATGTGGCCCTCTTCTGGCGCCCCATCTCCCCTCCCAGCGGGGCCTGCCTGAGTGTGCAGGCCGTGTGGGACCAGGGCCAGTGGGGCCGGGTGCTCTGGGCCCCCTTCCACCACCTGGGCGTCTGCCACTTGCTGGTCAACATGAGCACCCTCTTCTGGCTGGGCTGGGGCCTGGAGCGGGAGATTGGCTCCCTCCGGACAGGGCTCCTGCTGCTGGCCCTGGCGCTGCTGGGGGGGCTCCTGCACCTGATGCTCAACTCCCTGCTGGCGCTGGTGACGGGGCAGCACTGGTACTGGGAGCACTGTGCCGTGGGCTTCTCAGGTGCAGCTTCTCTCGCGACCCGCTCTGAGGCCCGGGCGTGTGCTGAGGCAGTTGCGCCCGGACATGAGCCAGGGTGTCTGGAAAGGCAGTGGATGGGTGGCCCCTGGAGGGCCCCTGAGCCCACTGCGGGCCCCCGCACGTAGCTGCACTTCTTGAGCCACAAAGCCCCAAAGAGCACAATGCGGGGGGGGCTTTCCTCCCACGCTGCTCACAAGGGCCCCCTTCTGGGCTGTGTAAGGGGGTGTCCTACAAGCTGCATGAAATCGGGAGGAAGAGTTGCCCCTTTCTCCCTCAGGGGTCAAGGAAGCCTCCCTCAGCCTTCCCAACTGGATTCCCTTTGGAAGTGTAGGGACTGTGGTTCCAGGAAGGGTCATTTGGGACATCTGTGGGTGCCAGAGCAGGCAAGGGGGGTTGGGACCAGTTCCTCCCTCCTGCCTCATGTGGGGCCCATCCCGTTTTGTCCTGATCCGCTGCAGGGGTCCTCTTTTCCCTGGAAGCCATGGGCAGGAAAGTGGAACCCTTCCCCATGGCAACCATGGCCACAGGCATCACCATAACAACCAGATGGTTCTGCATCCTGGAATGCCTGGCCCTTGCCCTCTTTTATCCCAGGTAAGCGTGAACATAAGAACCCAAGGCTATTCTTGTTGGATCAGGCCAAGGCCCCCCTTATTCCACCAATGGAGACCAACCAAATGCTTCTGGGGCGCTCCCATGCAAGAGGTGGAGATGCTCCCCTGCAAGTGGGACCTGCAGGCACCTGCTCCCAACCTGGAAGTAGCCCTGGGTCTTCAAGACCGATAGAGTAGACCTGTCCTGCATGACTCTCTTTAAGGCCATCCCAGTTAGTAGCCACCACATCATCTTGTGGGTGGTGAATGATGGAATTACACAAATGTAGACTTCTCCTCCTAGGCATCCTAGGCATCTTGATGGCTTCCTTAGTATCTTTAAGGCACTTGATGTCCTGCACTCCTGGGTTTAATTAAAAATTAAATGAAAGAATTGAAGTTGGATTTGGAGGCATCTGCTCCCAGCCTTGGGCCAGTCTCAGCTTGGCCTACCTCACTGGGCTGTGGGAGAAGAGCGGCACCCCTGGCCAACTTAAGCTTCTTGAAGAAAACCAGGTTGCGTGGGTGGGGGCCTGGGCTGCTTTGCCCGTCCCGAACGTGAAGCAGTTGGCAATAACCACTTTGCGGGAAGACAGCCAGGGAGGGTCCCAGCAGAGAGAAGCATGGAAACTGCTCAGCTCCAGACCGCCATGGTGGGCGGGAGGTGGGTGTCGTGGTCCAAGACCGAAGCTGCAAACACACCTCGTGCTTCTCTCCCTGGACACAGGAGCTCCTTCACCGGTCACCTCTCTGGGATCCTGGTTGGGCTGACTCTATCCAGCGCCCACCTGCTCAGCAACATCACCTGAAGGACGTGCCCACCCCTCTCCTGGTGCTGGGGTGGGTGAAGCAAGAACAGGCCAGTCACCCCCTCCCCCAATACAGCCTCTTCCGAGCAGCTCCGCATCACAATGGTGTCTGTGGACTGGGAGGGCCACACTGGGCTCCCCAGCCAACCTCTGGCCATGGAGTGCGTGCTCCTGCCCAGGTGCCAGAAGCCAAACTGGCTCAGCCATAGTCCCCAAAGCAACTGTTGAGTGCAGGGCATGCGTGCATGGCAGGGATTGGGGCCCTGGCAGCAGCACACCTCTGGGCCAGCACTCCTGCGGACACTGAGGGAGGGAGGGCAGGATCCCTCCCAGTCCACTTGTGCTGGTTCAGTCTCTAGGACCCCCCCGGGTGACACCTGCCCCATCAGCCCCAGCCAGCCCTGCATCCACAGGCCAGGAACGAGGAGGGCCCCAGGCTTCCGGGGCAGTGCTGCCTGGTGACACTGGAGCCCCTTGGAAGGACCGGGGGTCTTCTGGGGACAGCAGAAGGCACCTTCTGCATCTCACTCCAAGCGAACATTGCCACAAACTAGAGCATGGCTCCTTCAGTCATCCTATGCCATCGACACGCGGCTCATGGGCTCTGCTAACTGGGGTTTAGTCCGAAGCCCACAGCGTAGAGCAGCCGGCCAACTGGCGTCCCACTCGGGTGTCTCGGAATGTTTCTGTCAACTTCCATGGGGCTTCCCACAGGAGCGCCACCAGGCCCAGCTCACCCACACCTTTCCACAAGCGGCCAAGGCTGCCTGAGCACTGCAAGCTAGCGGGGGGGGAGGGACGGACGGACAGGTATTTCAGCAGCTCAGATTGCCTTCCACATGGAATCTGGACTGAAATGGACCTCCTGGGGGTATCCCCCGAGATCCCCACGCTCCCCACCCATCTCCAGGGATCACTTGGGGTGTGTGGGAGGCAGAGGGGGACATCGCTCCAGGCTACCTGATGGGGAACCTCAGAACACCAGTTTCTGCAGTCACAAAGAACTCGGCACCAGCATGGCTGTTATATACTTCTTTTCCCATATAGATATTTATAGACATTTTGAGTGCAACACATTTGTGTTATATATTTTGTGAGCATATAGATATAGCTTTAAAAACGTAGTCCATATTTCTCTTGAAAATATAAACTCCAGTCTTCTTTATGGGAAGAGGGGAAAGAGTCAGGGTTACAAAAACTAGCATGGAGAACTTGGCCAGGTGAAGTGCGGTGGGCAGACCATTCCTCCGGAAGAGCCCTAGAATGAAACGCTGTGAGCGAGCGGACACAGACGTGCAAAGGCCTGGGGCTGCCGTACAGCGAGGAACACAAAACCAGGACCGCCCGTTCACCAGGGCTGTGGTTTTTCTGCTCAGCTACCCAGTTACTAAGGGAAAGCAAGCTTCTTTGCTTCCGGTTCTGGTTTTCTGCTCTCAACCAAGCGGAGGTTAAAGCAGCCCAGACGGATTTTCTGAAATCCTCAAAGACAGAACATGACATGTGCTCGCTTCTGAAAGCTGGGCAGCGCAAAATGTCGCTTCTGAACACTTAACTGAGCAGGCACTGATTGACAAGAGGGGTTGGGGGTGGAAGACTTTGGAGGGCAGCTCGACCCTGACTTTCCTCTGACGGGGGGAGGGAAACGGGGGGTGAGAGCGGCACCTGGGAACAGACCCCAGGAGAGAGGTCTCCCCCCGGGAAGCCCAGGTCGGTCCCCCATGGCCTCTGGCCGGGGCAGCTGTCAGATGAGCGCACCCACACGGGAGGCGGTTGCGGGTGGGACTGCCCAGACCTCCCAAATGTGGACCTCAAAACCCAGAAAAGGCTCCCAACCATCTTGCACATGACCACCTCAGCCAGGTGGGACAGCTGACCCTCCCGCGTCTTTTCCTTTGAAAAGGAGATTTGTGGGGGGGGGAGCCCACGGTGCTGCAAGAAGTCTACAGGGCTGGGGAGGGAGCAATTCCTGGTTCTTTCTCCTTATGGCTTAGCCAGGGTGCCGTGGCTGATGGGCACACGAAACCTCCCACGGGGACTCACTAGGCGAAGCTTCCTTGACCCCCCTACTCCCCCCGATTTAGTGCAATAAAATTGCAAGAGCAACGAGAGGATGGCCAGCCGAGGGGGCTCTAGCACGGCATCCTTGCTAACCTTTCCTTGGCCAGACGCTGCCTGGTGGGCATAAGAAGCGGGCGGGAGAGGCCAAAGAGGATGGAAAGTGGCACCGAACTGCGCAGAGACCAGAACGGGCACTGCCTGTCCCTTGGTGGTCCCGGAGCAGTAACAGCAAGGCCTGCTGGGAGACTGGGGGGCAGAAGAGGAAGCCATAGGTGAGGCGCAGGAGCCCCCAAGCTGGAGCAGGACGGCTTCAAGGGCCTCTCGGCAGGTGCCGCACTGGAGGGGGTGGGGGGCTGCACGGACTGCAGCCTCTGCGCTCCCTGCAGCGGGAGCCCCTCTGAGGTCTCACGGGGTTTCCTCAACCGTTGCTGCCACCCGCCCTGCCCCTCCGCCTGCCTGCTGCCCGGGTCCCGGCTGCCCACGAGACCCATCACACGTTGCCTTTGGTCTCTTCCGAGGCGGGGCCCCCGTTCCTGGGGGCGGAGGCCCTGCTGTGCACACCTGAGGCAGGTTGAGGGTCTCCACCGACTCTGGATGCCGGCGCTAGGAGAAAGGGTTGGTGGGGGGATGCTTTGCCAGGGCAAAGGGGGGTGAAGGTGCTGCGGCCATTGGGTTCTGCAGGAGAGACAGAAAGACACCCCGTACAGCAGGAGGGACACACCACGTGTTTCGGCTGCAGGGCAAGACGCTAAAAGGCCACTTGGAGTCCTTCCAAAAAGCGCCTTTTTGCCACTTCAGAAACGAGCCCTTCCTTAATTACCCAAACCAGGAAGGAGGGAGGGAGGGAGGGAAGGAGGAGGCCTCCTTACCACAAAAGGGTTGGTGGAAAAGCCAGCCGGGGGTCCGAGCGGCCTCTGTCCATCTCTGGCTGCAGGAAACCCACCGAAGGAGGACCCTGAAGCCAACAAGGAGAGTCAAGGGAGGGAAGCCAGGCCTACGGGGGGGGCAGCGCTCACCCGGAAGGCTGGGCAGGCAGGAGATTCCCCGGATTCGTACAAGAGTTTCTTTGAGTTCAGACAGCCCAGGACTCGGCACTCAGCTTGGAGAAACCGTGCCCCAAATTCTACAGGCCTGCGGCAAAGTCGTATTTTGCCCCTCAACCGAGAACTGCATTTCCAAAGAAGCCCTTGGGGGGGGAGCAGGCGACTAGCAAGAGGAGCAAGCCATTTTCCCAGCATGCTCTGCTTTGCCCTGAAAGTAGCCGCACTGGGCGCAGCTGCTTCCCAATATAGTAAATGCCTGAAAAATCTGGATTCTGACATGAATTAGACCAGTGTTTCCCAACCTTGGCGGCCTGAAGAGGTGTGGACTTCAACTCCCAGAATTCCCCAGCCAGCAAATCCACACCTCTTCAAGCCGCCAAGGTTGGGAAACACTGAATTAGACAAACGAAGAAACTCTGCAGCACTGTCTGCTCCAAGGCCTACTCCTGGGGAAAGGGAAGGGAGAAAGGCTGGAAGACCGACTGGCCCTTTCCGAAGTGTTGTTTCTCCGATGGCTCTGATCCTCCGAAATGGCCTTCCTCAGAAACGGGACTGGTTCCTTCCATAACAGCCCTCCAGAAGCCAGTAAAAACCCGGTTATTCCACAAGGCTTTGAAGTTAATTAGGATTCAGCTGCATTTTAACGTCAATTCATCATGGACGGTGTTTCTTTTAATGGTTACGAACCACTGGAGTCCTGGCAGCAGGTAAGCTTAACGCGCTCGGGCTCAGCTTCTCTGCCTTTAAAAAGGGGAGAGGACTAGCCGGGGGAGCTCCTGCCGCAACCCCCCCCAAGTGACTCCTCCTTACCGCCATTGTGCGGCTGACCCACAACTCCTTGTGTGGGGAAGAACAGCGGCTCCTGTTGCAGTGGGGAAGCAAAAGCGCCAGAGAGGGGGGAGGCCGAGAAGCCGCCGGGAGACCCAACCATGAAGGTGCCTGCCGGAAGAGGGTCAGAAGTGAAGGAGCCAGGCGGGGGCCCTTTTCTCCCCTTCCCGCTGAGCCTCGCCTCCAGTCCGGGGCTTCTCTGGGGGGGCCATCTTGCGCTCCCCCCGCCTTCTTAGGCTGCCTCGTGGGCCGGCCGGCCGAGCGCCACCTCGGGTGGGCACTCGCAAAGCCTGCAGCACTGAACTGCTGGCAGTGGGGGGGCTCTACCAGGGTCGCTTTCTGTTCAAAGCCACAGCCTTTAAATGGACCAACGGACCAAAACTGACGAAACTGGCCCTGAAAGTTAGGACAGACACAAACCCCGATTCTCCATGAGGAAAACGGCAAGGCTCCGGAGAAGCCTGGCCTCACGCTCGGCCCCAGGAAGGGGGAGAGAGAAGGGCTCCAGAGCGCTCATTTCAGCCCGCAGGGAAGATGCCTTCGGGCTACCCAGATGGGGCCCGGCCCTCCGAGGGCACCCTCAGACCAACGGGAGAGAGCCAGCTTTCCTCCCTGCCAGAAGGAGCCTGACTGTGCCGGGGGCCTGGCACCGCAGAACGGGAGGGCAGCTCTGGGGGCCACACTCAGCTGGTCATTCAGCAAGGCTAGGGGGGCAGGGACACGATTCTTATCAGGGCTGCCAGAAGCAAAACCCGGGGGTCCCGATGGAAGTGCGGGCAGATACAGTGAGGCAAGCTGAGCTCCTCTTCTTCCCTCCTCGAGGCCCAAGCAGCCGACTCCTGCACCCACTCTGAGCAGAGGCTTACCTGGAGCCAGGCCGTTGGTCTGGAAGGGGTTGGTGGACGGAAGTGCGGGCTGGGTGGCTGCCGGGGCAGCAAAGGGGTTGGTGCAGGTCGGAACTGCATGTGTGAGAGAGAGAGAGAGAGAGAGAGAGAGAAAGGGAAAGGACCTCTAGCACCCACAGGCGCCTGGAGTCTGTCATGCCCAAACCACCAAGGAGAGCTGCTTACCCCCGAAGGCCGCAGCAGGGCTGGATGGGGGCAGAACAGAGGACTGGCTGAGGGTCCCGAAGACACTGCCAAAGGAAACAGAGTTCAGCTCAAGGATGTGCTGCTGCAAGACCAGCAGGGACCAAGGCCGCCATTCCCTGCTCAGCCTTGGTGGCAAGGGGTAGCTGAGGCCAGGACCCTCGTGGGCACAAAAGGGGCTACCTGCTTGGGATCCCTCCCACGCGGAAGGCTCCGCCCAGGCTCGGAATGCCCACGCCGGGCTGGCTGGCAGGGGAGGCGGGGAAGGCTGCCACGTGGGCACCACCTGCAGGGGAAGGAGGAAGAGCAGAAGACCCGTTCAGCGGTCAAGGGGACACTCACCTGGCAGGACAGCTCCAAGAACTCATCCAGCTACAGAGCCCATCACAGAACTGCATGAGGTGCCAAGGCTCTTTGTTGCAGTGCAAATGTTCACCCCTATTCCTCTCCTTCACGGCAGGTGAGGACAGGGTGCCACCCGCCACCCAGGAGCAGCTTCTTGTGCCAGAACCGCTGTCCTGCCTATGCCCCTGCAAGGTGCAGCTGATGCTCCTCTGACAAGGCTCCCAAGGCTGGGAAGGCGGTCACCGAGATCTGAATCCCAGCTCTGCCCGGAAGCAGCCGCAATCTAAGCGTCCCAGCAACATCAGGGGATCTTTCCCAAGGCTGGGGGGGCGGGGTGGGGGGAGTTGAGGTTACCTGCAGCGACCGGCTGACTCTGGAAAGGGCTCTGGCTGGAGGCTAACGGGTCCCCAAACGTCAACCCTGCAGGGCTTCCTCCAAAGGCATCGAAGCTGGGGAAGGCTGTGCGGGCTGGCACCTGGCCTGAGAGAGCCACCAGGGGGGTGAGGGGGGGACACAAAAGCATCGCTCCAGCTCAGAGGACCACAGATTCCTCTCAAGGCATTATGGCGTCCACTGTTTTCATGCCAGCCCCCTTCCTAGCACTCTCCAGTGCAGACTTTGTCTTTGGGGGTGGGGAGCAGGGACCAGCTGTTCACCTGAGCCCTGAAAACGCGTGTGGATCCGATCCCTTTGCCGTGGCCTACCATTCAGCTGCATTTAATGCCAATTCACCCAGTCCAGGCTGCGATCCTTTCTGATTTTCCTACAACTTGCTCTCCTCAGCAGGCCAATGCTCAATGGCCCCACTCAGAGCACCTGTCCCTTTCAAAATGGCCCGTTTCTCCCCCCGCTTTCTCCGCACTCAAAAGACGGAAAGGTCCTCACCTCCTCTCGCTTGGCCGTGATTACAGATCCCAAACGCTCAACCAGGAAGACCCCCGTTTGCACTGAGATACCTTGCAGCCAGGCCTCTTTCTAGTCCCTGCTGGTCGTCCTACAAGACGGAGTGGGACTCACCTCCAAAGGCAGGGAAGGTAGGCCCAGGCTGGGGGGCCGCAAAGGGGTCACCCCCAATGTCCGCCAGGAGGTCTGTGCTGGCCTTTTTGGCTGGCTGAGCAGCCTGTGGTGGGGCTTTCTCTGATACCTGCAAGAAAAGGGGTCACCTGGAAAGCAGAAATAAAGCCCCTCCAGAGGGGGGGCCCACACCTCACCCCACAGACTCTGCAGTTGCATCCAGCTGTGGAACGAGGCAGGGACAGGTCGTGGCTATGGGCCGGGGGACACTTCTAGCCCTGAAGTGACTTAGACTGCAGAGCTGCGTGCAGAATCGGGGGCCTTTGGAGTGTGGGGGGAAGAGCTGTGGCCCTCCCACAACGGCTCAGAGGGTTGCCAGCCTTTCCCCAAAGTGCCCTGGGGGCTGCCAGACAGGGACCCTCTCTGGAAGGACATGGGGGGCTCAGGAGCAGCACCAGCTGTGGGGGCAAAGAGGGAGCCCCCAGTGGGAGGCGCAGTTCACGGCCGTAGCCCTGTCTTGGAGCAGCTGGATGCTGAAGAGTCACCTGCCAGAGAACAGACTTCCTTACCCCACCGCCCCCAAGCTGTCAGGGACATGGCCCCAGCTAGGATCCTTCAGGTGAAGTGGCACCCCACGGGAGCATGCAGGCCCACGTACTGGGTAAACTCGACCCTCAGGAAAGAGGGATCTGTGTGAGGTGACCAGAGAGAGCAAGAAGGGAAGAGGACTCCGACACCCCACCTGAATCATCTTCTTAGCCAGTAGCTCTAACCTGGGGGGCCTTGGCCGCCGACTCCCCCAGCAACGTCTTGGCCTCTGCAGGGGAGCTCTGGACACTCGAAGAGGCTAAGCTTTTGGCTTGGTCCGGCGACACATACCTGCAAGGAAAATTGGGGGACAGGATGAGCCCCCAGAGGAAGGCTCTCTATACCTCTTCCGCGATTCCTTTTCCTTTCCCTCCATTTATTCCACAGGGAGAGATGCTTCCTCCTCCATGCTGCCATTCAGTCCACTGACACTACATCTGATTCTACGACAGTTAAGTTCTTGATCTCTTGGAGAAAAGGCAGGATAGATATTTAACAAACCAAGTTACATTTTTGCTAGGAAATCAGAAATTGCATGTTTCTTTCAGAACGCCTTGGCAGATGTCATCCAGACCCAGCAATTCAGAGCTGGTGTTTCTCAAGAAGTCTTGGAATATTTTTTCTTGATACCAGTCAGTGAGTCCAGATGGTGTCAGCCTGAGAATTCTTACAAAGAAGAAATTGCTGACCTCCTTCAGAAAAAATATAGAGTCCTGGAGAACTGAAAGGAAAGAGGGTGACACCAATCTTTAAGTAGAAGCTCGTGGAAAGTCTTGGCAATTAGAGGCGGGTCTAATTAACATGTGTTCTGGGAGAACAGCTGGTAGAAGAACAAGGGAAGGGAAGTCAGCAATCCTGCCTCACCAACTTCCTCAAGTTGTTGAAGTGGAAGATGGGTCTATCTCAGATTCAGTCTTCAAGACTCCAGATTACAGGCAGCCTGTATAAACCCTGGGAGTTTTTCAAAGAATGTTATTCAAATCTCAGGTAACTGGCTTTTCAGTGAGGACATCCAAGCTGTGTCCTACTGTTTCTTATTTGACTTGGTGTTAATGTTTTTAAAAATAATCTCCTTGGTTAACCTTTCTGCACGTTGGCTGGCTAGTAGATGTGAACGTGGACTACCAGTCCACCTACTCTTGTGGCCCTGGGATGAAAACAAGAGAGAACAGAATGCTTGTTTGGAAACCCCCGCCCTCCACCGTTGTCTATGGATGGAACACCCAAGTTTTATCAAAGTTTGCTCTGCTGGAACATAGCCAAAGAAAGCATTTCAACAGAACATCTGAACTGATCTGTTTTGTTCTGAGTGAGCACTGCGCATTTTCAGTTTCACACAAACCCCTGTGACGCGCACCCATCAGGACGACGTATTCCGCAGGCAGAATACAGAGCCCACAACAATTTAGTGTCATTTCCCTGCCCCCCGCTCCCACTTTCATTCTCACCATCTTTTCTTCTCATATTTCTCCTGCAGAAACTCCTTCACTTTTTGAGGGTCCTGAGAATCTGGTAGCAGGGACGCCCGTGAGTCAAAAGAGCCCAACCAGATCTTCCGACAGGCCTGGGGTGGGGATCCGAATGAGGGGAGAAAGCCACAAATTAGGACTCTATGATTCTTTAGGAAGCAAATTCATTTTAGTGGTTATAACTGAGAAGCATAACCCCCTGTGGGACATAGCCTCCTGACCTGTTGCAAGGGAGAGCTGGTCTGTTTGGCTAGATTGCTTTTTAAAATGTAAAGGTGCTTTCAGCATTTTATATGCGCAGGCAGTTTACATGCCCTCGTACCTTTGGAAAAATGGTGTGGAATCAAAGCTTACCCGTTCAACGGCATCTTCACATGTAAGCAGCCAGACCCTCCAGCGACCTCCACTCACCTCGTTCCCACGGGACTGGAGGAACTGCACCTCGCCCTCCGTGAAGGTCGTCATGGAGATGGATTTCACCCGGTGAGGGGGATTCAGACCACGGCTACATGGGGCGGAGGGGGGAAGAGAAAAGCATTCGCAAGTTACGGGTTGCGCTGACCGGAGCCGAGCGTTCCTTAGGACAGAGGGGCGGATCTTGGGCCAGAGAGCCCCACACACCGGCAAGAGGGCCAGCCTGGTGACTTGGGCTGATGACGGTTAGCTATGCACCCAGGACCCCCTACCCGCCCACGGATGCAGGTCTTGGCAGAACGGAGCCCAGCGGCCTTCAGCTCCTGCCCGCAGCTCTTCCTGGCTCAGTCCTATCCTCGTTTCCACCCTTCTGAACTGCTGGTTCTTCTCTGCCCGCGGTGGTTAATTATTAAGAGGACCAACAATGAACTACTCAGAGCGTCCTTCAAAGAGGGGAAGCGAACTGACACGGGAAGGATCGTCTCTGGCCACTCTGAGACACCGCTGGGCATCACTGGGGAACACGCAGGCAGAAGGGGAGGACAGGTCAGTGCCCTAGATCTCTCTGCAGCGCACTTCCGGCCGATCTTCGTGAAATAAAGCGAGACGCGGGTTTCACTCGGCTAAAATCCATCGTCACCATCCAGAAAGCTCCTGTTCTAAGCATTCCGCGCCCCACTTTCCCCCGCTAAAGCAGCTCCCCCAAAGGGATCCTCCTCACGCCCTGCAGCAGAGACGGGCAAGGCGCACCCACCCTCCACCTGCCTGCCCCGCAGTTCTTCCCCACGCGCCACCCGCTCACTTTCAGGGCAGCTTCCCCGGACTTCGAGGGCCCCCCCGTGAGGTTCTGGCCCCCCAGCCAGCCCCTCTTTTCCAG